TTCATCCCAGCATTTGGTAGATGAGTTCTTCTAGAATGTTCAACTGAACTCAGCTCTTCAATTTCACAAGTACCAGGAAATGGACCCATTTAATCTGGTTGTATACAGTATTGAGGTGAGACACACACACCCGGAAGATTTATACTAGTCCATCTCTGAGGAACTCCAGATGCAAGACCCACCAAGCATGAAAATCGAGCCACAGATACGTTTTAAAGCTTTTCCTGTTTAGATTGGTCCAAAAGCTTGATCAAACTGTCAACTCCTTATTGACTACACATCAAAATCCAAACCCTGAAAAAGTCAATTGAGGAATTATAAGATTAGCTTACTGTTACAGACATGTCAAAGAGTTCGAAGTTCAAACAATCGCCAGAACACTAGATTATCACAGAATTCAGATAAGCTTGTGACGGACAGCATTGACTGAACTTGGGCGAAACAGTTTCAATAAAACAAATACTTTTCTAAGAAACTACCAAGACACAAAACTGAATTCACATACAGAACAGTTTTCCACGGACACTAATTACCCTACTGTGTATCTGCTAAAGGTTCTTATGTCTTACCCTCAAATGAACCTTCTATTTACGGACGATAGCAACTTGATGATAGAATAGAAGCTCCAGGACCAGTAACCCGTTTTCATTTTATGATTAATTTCCAGATTAAGGTCATACTGAGATTGATTTTAAAGCTTTTATGCTGAGACAATCCTAATTTACCCTGGCAGGCTATATTCAGAAGAAACAAGTTACAAATGTAATAAAGAAAATTGCTATTAAATTATACATTTATATCCACTAACCTTCAATTCATTTATTTTCCGGGTAGAGAGGTGATGAAAATATATCCAAAAAGTACGTAAAAATTTACGAACAACAAAGGACTGTATTGCATCTTGAACTTAAGCTTAAATTAATAAACTGAAGAAAAAAAAAAAAAAAAAAACTGTGCGGATCAAGAAAAGAAATGAGAGAAAAACATAGAACCGTAAGAAGAAAAAAAAAAGTTAACAAACTTTGTTTTTTAATTTGAAATCCACAAACTTGTAAATAATGCTTGCATGAAACAGAATCCAGAGGTATCAGGCTCCTGAACAGAGTTTAAAAAAGAAGATGAAACACTAAAATAGAAGTACACTCAACAAACACACACTCGTGTTGTGTGGCTGCATATGTGAATCAACTCTATAAAATCTTGAAAGCAGCTGAAGTAAAACAGATCGAAGATAGAAAGAGTACCTTACGGTGGGGGCACAATGAGGCAACTGAATCAGGAAACATAATGTGCGGAATGAGAAACCAAATCTCAGGGTTTGAGAACGAAAAACCCTAGGGACCAGAAAGATGAGAAAGGAAGGAGAGAGATTCAGAGAGAGAGAGGAGTACAGGGCTAATTACTGCAACTGTTCCCTTTTTCCTTTCAGCCTCTGATTAGTTTGAAGAAGAAGGGCCCCACCATATATGTAGTGAGTCCCACGTATGGGAAAAAAACGCTGCTTAGATGTAGACACTTGAAATGTATAGATTAATAAATAATTTACTAAAATATTTAATGTGTAAATTGTAAAATAATAAATTATTTTTTACATTTTATCATATAAAAATCATCTCAATTTTTAAAATTAAACAAACATATTTTATTTTATAAATTATTATACATTTTGTTCCTATTATTCACTACATAAAAATTAGCTAAATATATATATATAATAATTATAGTTTTATCTAAATTTTTAATAGAGTTATAATTGTACTTTTTTTAGTATAATTTGATATATATTTATTTATTATATTTTTTATAAAAAAAATCTAAAAAGATACGTGGAAGACAACCCATGAGAACAAAGGGAATCGCTGTAGTAGCCATTTTGTGATTATGGTCAAATCAAATCAACTGCTTTCAAACAAAAATCATTTTAGTCTTGTTGTCTCCTCGTTTAATTCATAAAAGTAGGTAAAAATAAAAATGATTATGCTCCGAAATAATTATATATTTACAAAAAAAATTATTATTTATTACGTCATCTCCAATTAATGATAAATTTCTAAAAAAAGTAAAATAAATATTAAATACAAAAAAAAATTTGAAGAATGGGCAACGGGATTTTCCCCTGGCGAGCCACGTGGCAGTAACTTATACGGAACAGTAACGGGTGGATCCTAAATATGATTAACCATCTTGTATTTAATGGCAGGCTAAACTTAGGCGAGGCCTGGCCCACAATGGATATATATATATATATATACACACACATTCAGGTATTGATTCTACAGATCTCCCCCCCCCCCCTCTTCAATAATTGTGAACAAGTTTGTCAGTGTCATTCAGAATTTTAATACACACTGTACCTGATTGGGAAACAGAGATATTTGGTTTCTCCCAATTTTTTATTTATTTATATTAAAAGCTATGAATTTTATTTCTTTTTAAAAATTCAAATTTTAGTTTTAGTGAGGTTTTTTTTTCCTTTTATTATTATTTTTTTTTTGAAATTCAGAATAAGCTCGCCAATTCATGAAATCTTGGCAGTTTATTTAGTGCCAGGAAATTTCCATTTGCATTCCATTTCAAAATTCAAAAACATAATTTTACAATTGTTTATTTTTTATATTTATGACAAAGTATGGATGACAAAAAATAATTTCATTATTTATTTATTAATATTTAATATATTAGATTCGAACCACTAAATTATTTAATCTATTATTTTTCCCTTAATTTAACCAAATTCGATTTGACCCGATTAAATTTATATTTTACCCCAAAAAAAATGTATACTATTAAATTTTAACATAAGCAAAAATATTATTAAAATTTACCAGAAGCCTTTAGATACCCTGTTCGTCTCTAGGCTTTTTCTATTGAAAGACGTCAAATTTGCTGCTTGTTTCCACAATGGCATCATTAGATTTTGATTTTAGCATGATGTGATGCTCCTGGAAATTTTAAAACAAAACACGTAAAAGTTGATTCCTCAAATCTTAACCGGCAATTATTTATTTAACTGATGTGATTCACCATAACCAAATTAAAGTAAATGGGTCTCTTAAACTACTAATTATCTCTCTAATAAACTTTACTTTCAGTCTCCTTATCTTAAATCTCTCTGTTGAACTTTTGATAACCCGCGACGGTGCCGTATGGACGAAGTGCTTTAAAAATATACGTACAGACATATTATTATAAAATAAATTAATTAAATAATTTTTTTAGTAAAAAGAAATAGAGGAAATGATGCCCATGACTTAAAAACGTTTTGTTGTTTATTTGTTGGGCGTTAATTTTCTTTCATGTGCAGTGCAATGAAACCACCCATCACCTTTGCTTTTTATGTGTGCCATAACTTTTCCTTTTTTTAATTTTTGAGAAATATGATAAAACAAAAAAAACCAAGTAGAAACCAATAAACAATAAACGATGCGGAGAAAATTACATTATTTTATGTTGCACCCAACATCAAACAATTCTGTTGTGTGATCCAAAGAAAATGGTTAATATTTGCCATAGAAATTAGATACGAATCCAAAGTTATATACACACATATATATATATATATACACACACCCACTAATTAAAAATAAATAAATAATAAAAATAGAGTTTTAAAATATTTTAATATTAATTATATATATTTTTACTTTAAAGGGCACGAAATAAATAAGTTTTCATGACCATCGTAATGAAAAGTTTTTTTGACACATAATAATTATGAAATGGATACTTCAGCATTACGAATGCAGTAAATTTGTGGCATGATATCACTACCTCCTAATTATTATTTTCAATAATTACAAGTTTAATTCGGAGTCAATTTCTTTTAAATTTTATTTTTTTTCTTTTAAAATTTTAGTTATTAAAAATACTTTAAAAATAAAATTCCTGTGTTACGATGGTCAAATGATTATGCTCGGAAAATTCCACATATGTTCGTATATAGTAATAATATTTTAAAATATTGAGTTCCACTCTATCATAATAAAATTTATATAAAATACTTATAAAAATTAAAATTAATTTTAATGTAAAAATAATATGATAAAATATTTACTTTTATATTATTTTAATTATTTTATATACTCACTTAGAGTAATATTATTTTACAATAAGAATTTTTTTTTTATAGATTCACAAAAAATTGTATCTTTTTCCCATAGGTATTATAGGTGTTTCTAATTTTGTACAGCATATATAAAACAAATTACTTTCTTCTTACTATAAAATTCTAAAAATAAATACTAGGAAACCATTTTTTTTTTTTTTTTGTCCACAGCATTTAATCACTTTCCCCTAATGTTATAATTAAGTGTTTAATTTCCATTTATATCATAATCTTTGACTTTTAAGATTCTCAGAACGCTTTTAACTTAAATCGACAATCAATTACCAATATTAGCAAGTACAACTAACAACAACTCAGTTGAACATTGTATAAAGAATACCCAATTGGAGAATATATATATATATATATTATTATTTAGTAAAAATAAAAATATAACATGTGTATTAAACGAAGGATTGGGATCCTATGAAAAAAATAAATTTATATATATATATATATATATACTTAACCAAAATAATAATAATAATAATAATAAAAATGAAGAAAAGCAAAGGACCATCATTCTCACATGACACATGGGAGAGACCCCGCTTCCCAAGAAAATGATGGTTGGGTTTTGTCTTGACCCCAAAGCCAAGGCATAAAATTTTCGAAATAAATTAAATTTCCAAATTATTATTTTAAATAATTCAAGCTTTGTTTTTTCTCTTCCTTTCTCTCTAATTTGCCAACTGGTTTCCTCTTTCTCTTCCCAGATTTTCAACATTATACGGGTTCACTACAAAATAC